GCTGTGCTTATAGTACTGTGTGCGAGCTGTGCTTATAGTACTGTGTGCGAGCTGTGCTTATAGTACTGTGTGCGAGCTGTGCTTATAGTACTGTGTGCACCTTGGGCCGTCCTCAGCCCAAGTGGGAGTTTGGGTCTGACTTGCTTTAGAGCAGCCCAGACAGGTGAGTGCCTCGGCCCGCGTGATGGACCAGGCCCCGCCGCTGCTCTGCCGTGTCACTCATAGCGTCGTTCTTCAGTTTTCCCAGGAGCTCAAGGACAAGGCCTGGCCGACGTTCAAGAAGGCGGGTGGCCATCCCCACCAGCTGGGCGCACTGGACTTCGTTCCCACCAACTGCCACGTCAACCTGATGCAGGTCTCCTACCCCAAGAGCAGCACATCGGCCGGGCGCACTTTCAGCATCCGCTTCGGCCGCAAGAACTCCTTCTTTGGGCTGGACCCCGACCAGGGTAGGCCTCTCCTCCTGGGCATCAGCTCCAGTATGCGTCTAGACACGCCGGTTGAAGGCAGTAACCGTGACTGTTGGGCGTTTCGAAAGTTGCACAAAGTGAAAGTGGTCCGTTTTTCGTGTTTCGGTTTTCTGATTAATCTCGCTGTGGTTAAAGGGAGAATCTTCATTTCCCTTCCCATAAAATGTTTCGTACTACTTGTTTCCAAATAGGGGGTTTGCTTTGAATCAGTGAACCTCTGAGATTACGTACATGGCTAATTAGCAGAGACCTGTTAGCAGTTCAGTCTGGCTTGCTGGAGATGCGCTTTTGAGGAAATCCTGCCAGTTTCCACAGTCACCTCTCATGGTTACCTCCAGCACTCTGTTTGCCTTCATCCCCTCTGCCCTGGGAGATTTGTTTTTTCTTTGGGGGGGGGGGGGGATGTTTCCCAGGGCTTCTTAAGCAGGGCAACTGAATTAGTGTACAAACAGTCTGATTGCCTTTTTTTGATTTACCTCTCCCCCCCCCCCCCCCCCCTGCAGCCAACCTGAACCCCATGTCCCAAACAACGCACTGCATCACTAGCATGGCTGCCCCCTCCTTCAGCTGCCAGACTCTGGAGGAGGACGGAGACATGGAGGCGGACAGCGGCCCCCTGGAGCGCAGCCTGGACGGCCGCTCCCAGCAGGAGGGGGGCGGCCTGAGCTTCCTCCTCAAGCAGGAGGACACCGAGGCCCAGGACGCCTACATCCATCTTTTCAGCCGCATGGATGTGGCCGTCAAGGAGATGAAGCAGTATGTGGCCCAGATCGACGTGTAAGTACTGAAGATGCCCCCCCCCTCCCCGCAGACACGGACTTTCATGTTTTTATTTAAGCGAGTAGCAGTGGGTTCAGTGAAAGGCCGAGACGGTCACTGGTTGCACGGCACACCGCGTCTGCTCGCTGCTTTATCGTCCACAGAGCGTTTTGATTTACGTTCAAGGCCCGAGGAAGGAATCGCCTTCCTGAAAATATTTCCGCCAAAAAGCCAAACAGACCAGGGACAAAACACACAACACCACTGTGCAAAGTTCAGATGTTTTGTCGGGGTCATGTTCCTAAAAGTGTTTTGTCATCCTCCATCTCTTCTCTCTCCTCCCCCCTCCCAAAATCCAACAGCCTTTTGTCCTCTATAACTGAGCCCACCCAGCCCGAGAGCTGCGACCCCCCCGCTGTAGAAGAGGCCCCCCCCACTGCAGAAGATACTCCACCCACGTCGCCGGTAACAGAGGAAGTCGACCTGGACAAGTCGGAGCACGGCGGCATCAAGAAGGTCTGCTTCAAGGTGACCGAAGAGGACCAGGAAGACTCCGGTCACGACACCATGAGCTACAGGGACTCGTACAGGTGAGGCATGTGGCGTCGCTTGGATTCCCGTCCTCTGAGCCGCCGGTTTCCATCAGGATCACGGAGCCTTCCCAACGTGGCTGCCGACGTCAGCGGATCCTCAGGTTAAGTGATGCGGCCCATCAATGGAGACTGATGAGAGGTGATCGCTAGAGATGAGATTTAACGGTCGCTGATAGAAGGCTTCTTCCAGGAGAGTGTCTGCTTCGCTGGCATATTTGTGGCTTAGTTTGTGGCTCAATTTCCGGTGTCTAACCTGGGAAGTGCCCAAAATGTCCCAGACGCGTTCTCTGCCGGCTTGGCCTCTGGCTGTGAAATGTCGCGACGCTGCCTTTTTCTGGTCAGTAAAACCCCATGTCCTCTACACCCAAAGGAGTGTCTGCTCCACTCCGGTCCGAGTAATGTCTCGGAATAGCCGCCGGCTGCCCTCCATATAACCTGGCCCGCCGCTGCCGGCCCAGCGAGGCCTTTGCTGTTACTGGCGCTCGCCCCGCAGGCTGGCAAAGGCCGTGCAGAGGCTGCCCGCTGCCCAGAAGGCCCTGTGAACGAGGCTCTGATGGCGGCACCGCCGGCTGCATGGTGGGCGTTAAGTGGAGCGTGGACCCAGCTGAGAGGAGGGCTTGGAAATCTGGGGCCTGCAGCCAAGGCGGGACCATCAGTGTGGGAAAGCGACAGTCATCTCCGTGGCGATTATGTCAGCCAGGGCTCCGGAGGGGGGGAGGGGGGGGGCTTTTTCCCAGCAGCAAGCCGTTTGACTTCGGACTGTTCCTTATCTCCGGGAGCAAAAAGCCCACAGTGCTTTATTCGTATAAACACAACTTGGCTTTTTCCCGTGTTTGTTTTTCCCCCCTTGCATTGTTTCGGTCTGTTTTTATTGAGGCCTCTGTTGACAGTAGGAGTCGACCCTTTGCTGTGAAACGCTGTATCGTTTGCCGGGGCTCTGTGTGCGTCCGGTCCGGGCTGATGAGGACGGCGCCGTGTCCGTGCGAGCAGCTAAGGGCTACGCACCGCTCGTGTACGCGGTTTCACGTCGCAGCTGAATGGTGCATCAGCCCCGTGAGCAGATCCGCCTAGAGTGAAGGCTTTCTCCTGTCACAGAGTGTTAGCTTTCCTATCAACATTAAACATGTGTCAGAGACACACCTGACAAAAAAAACAACAACCAGCACACGTGCATGTCTGTATGGCAACGCCAGATTGGCTGACTGAAACAATGTGGGCAGTGTTTTATCATTTTTTTTTTCCACAACCCGAGGGCAGCATTCCTGTGGCGAGGCAGCCGACGAGTGGAATGTGTCAATGTGGTTTGAATCAGAGCCCTCTGCTTGCCACTATGTGGTTTGGCGCCCCCTACAGGACCATCCTCAGCAGGGTGACTGAAGTCAGCGTATTATGTAATATTGGCCTTTTTACTTAATATTACACATTTTCAGATGTTGCCTTCTCCCAGTTACTCTGTGCGACAGTGGGTGTATCCTACTTTTATGAAGTCTGAGTAAGATTGTGTCATGACCCTCTGTAAACTGTTAAAAAAAAAAAAAAAATCAGGTTTTATGGCGTCTGTTTTGAATCTGTGTGTAAATGTGCTTGAATACCAGCCATTATTGGATGAGGTCAGTCAGCCATTTTTTTGTTTTGCATTTGAATGAATCCAAATACAGGCAGTCCCCAGTTTGCGAACGAGATGCATTGCTTAAGTCTGTCTTGAAGTCGAATTTGTAGATAAGTCGGAACAACAACAACAATAATAATAATAATAATAATAATAATAATAATAATAATACCGTACATACATAATACAGTAATAATTATACAGAAATAATAAAAGTAACTGTATATGGTACTGTGCTGTACCTCAACACCAACAAACCGCTGAAGCCATGGGATGTTTTCATGGGCATCACAAAGCCTTTGTTATTATGAACCATTATGTTTAGGTCACATTTTGTATTTAATTGTACTTACAACAGACTGCCATAAAGTCTGAGTTGCCTATAGGTTGGACATTCTTATCCCAGGAACTGCCTGTCGTCAAACCTAAGGGGGGGCTGATATCCATCCAGCCACCTCCCAGCTTCACCTTGAGTTCCGTGGAAGTGGACCGGTGTCACTGTTTTTGCCTTGTCATCCCCCTCCCTGTGAATCCTCTTCATGTAGCTCATGGGGAGTGGGGGAGGGGTTAGGTCTCTGTCTGGCATCAGAAGGTCACTGGTTCGAATCGGTTGGGCCCTTGAGCATGGCGCTTAAGGGGACTGTCTGATCCTGTTTTCTCAAAATAATGTATGTTGCTTCGGGTAAAAGCATCCTCGACGCAAATATAACGTGAATTTCTCTGTTTGAATGCCGTGCTGCCGGCTCTTCTTGCCGCCCGGCTCCTGCTGCTATTTTTATGCCTACCAGATACATAAAAAGCTCAGATTATGAAGGAAAACCAGTGCTTTGAGCCCAGAATAGACGTGGGATGGTCAGGGAGTCCACATGGGCGGTGGGACAGATCGCAGTAGCGTTTAAATTGGTCCACCCAGGGCAGGCCTCTCTTTAGGAGCCATTTTAGTCTTTTTCCTTTTTTTTGTTTATGAATGGCCTTCTATGTAGGCCGTAACCCACACAGCCTCTTCCTGCACCCCTCGCCGTGTCAAGTGGATTACAGTCAGACTTCTGAGGAGTGTTTTTCTTTCCGGGGTAATGCTTACCACATGCGGGATCGGAGCCGGGGCGTCCCAAATTACCGCGACGTAACCGAACCCTGGGAAGCGGCAGGCAGACTTTGGGTTTTCATGGCACTGCTTTTCCTGAGCCTGAACTGGAGACCGTCGCCGCTCGCCGTCATGACAACAGGCCATATGTAAGTCTGGAGCGGTGACAGCTGAAATAAGTCATGCAGTGTGGTGGAACAGGCCCCACGTGTGAATATTTTTGGGTTGGTGAGCTTCTGAGATGTTTTATGGGACTCAAAAGGACAGCTGTGAGGAGTGTATTTACCAGACTGTCAGAACGCTCTGGAGTCCGCTGCGATCGCAGCTTAATTAACGTCCGGAGGTTTGCATAAAGCTGCCGTCCTCAATGAAGTATTTCAGCTGTGTTTCAGCGTAATTATGCGCCACTCTCTCATTTTGTCACTGGGTCCTGAGTTCTCTACCTTCTCCGTGTTTTCCAGTGAGTGCAACAGCAACCGGGACTCAGTGCTGTCCTACACCAGCGTCCGCAGCAACAGCTCCTACCTGGGAAGCGACGAGATGGGCTCAGGTAGGACCTCTCTACTGTTCTTCTGCTTCCCCATCCCCAGGGGGCACTCCTGCACCCCCAGCCCACCCCCAGGACCCATTAGAGGCCCATGATTCACTCCATTGACTTGTCAAGTGGCACAGTTCACTGCAGGTTCCTGTAAGGTTCAGCAGCCCTAGTCTTTATTTCACTCCCCCACCCCCCCTCATCTTGCCTCAGCCAGAGGAAGTGGCACAAGAACACATGACTAACCCCTGAAAAGGGGGTGGGGCACAGACTCGGGCGTCAGATGTGACTCTGCAAACATGATGTGCCGTCCCTGGGCACTTATGTTCCTGCCCGCCTAGCGGTTGGTTTGAATTTCAACAGGTCCGGTGCTGGACATTGGGCAACATCTTCTGAGAGGGCGCCGGCTTATCAAACATTGTGTCACAGGGGCTTCGGCCGCCACCACTGAGCATGTCCGCTTTCCCCGCAGGTGACGAGCTGCCCTGTGACATGAGAATCCCCTCCGATAAACAGGATAAGCTGCATGGCTGCCTGGAGCACCTCTTTAACCAGGTCAGCCATCGGCCACGGGGACGGCTTCCTTTTGGGGCTTAGCTGCCCGTGTCGGCTTGTGTGCTGTTGCCGTGGGGATAGCTACCATTATACAGCTACCTGTGTCTTTGCAGCGTTTTTCGGCTAATTTTCTGCTTTCTGGGGAATTTTCTGTGTCAGTGCATCCGGGGCTCGGAGGAGTCCCCAGTTCCCAGGTGCAGCTTGGTTCCTGAACCTGACTCGATGACTCTTATCTTATTTGTTATTTTTTCCACTCCCTCTCCTGCGCCAGGCCTGTTGAATACACAGACGCACCTGCGTCCGCCTGCCATAATCCTTTCAGGAACATTCTGTGCAGATGTGTTTGATAAAACCAGTCGACATTTTAGTGAATTGCCTCGATTTTATCAGTTATCCCACATGCGTGTTCTGTCTACTGTCGGCTGTCCTCCACCTGTCACACGGGGGCCTCACCGTGTCTCTCTCCACAGGTTGATTCCATTAACAGCCTTTTGAAAGGTCCGGTCATGGTCAAGGCCTGTGAAGAAACCAAGCACTTTCCCATGGACCACAGTCAGTCCGGTAGAGAAGTCTTCCATCTCGGACTGTCTGTGTGTCTGTGTGTCTCTGTGTGTCTGTCTGTCTGTCTGTCTCTCTGTCTGTGTGTCTCTGTATCTGTGTCTGTGTGTCTCTGTCTGTCTGTGTGTCTCTGTGTCTCTGTCTGTGTGTCTCTGTGTCTCTGTCTGTGTGTCTCTGTATCTGTGTCTGTCTGTCTCTGTCTGTCTGTGTGTCTCTGTGTCTCTGTCTGTGTGTCTCTGGCTGGCTGGCTGCCTGTCTGTCTCTCTGTATCTGTCTCTCTGTATCTGTCTCTCTGTATCTGTGTCTCTGTATCTGTGTCTGTCTGTCTGTCTATGTATCTTTGTCTTTCTGTCTCTCTGTGTCTCTGTCTCTGTCTGTCTGTCTGTCTCTGTCTGTCTGTGTGTTCTATCTAGACTGTCCCCTGCATTGGGCCCTATGCTTCCTGGGATAGGCTTCCGGCTAATCTTGTTCCAGATATGTGGATGAATAGATGATTCATAGCAAAAATAATTATATTTTACGTTTGTATTTGTTACTGTAGATGAGGACATTGATTGTGCAATTAGAGACAACCTTTTATGTATCTACTTTTGAAATGTATTAAAAAAACACAAATGTATTGTATCCTACTTAATCATTATTAGCCTTAACAGATGGCATCACACCCATTTCAGAGTTCAAGTATAAACTCGCTGACTAAGGAGGTGATGTTTGCAGATGCACTGAGGCACTCTGGTTACTCTGAGAGCCCATTCTGACTGTCAGGCTGTAATGGGAGCTGAACTGTGTTTCTCTCAGACCGTAACACAGAGGACTGGACAGCACGCTGTCGCTATATGATCCATAAGAACATCCAGGAAGATCCGTGGAACCTCCCCAGTTCCATCAAAACCCTGGTGGAGAGTTTGCAGCGGCTTGTAGAAGGTGGGCGAGCCGCGTCCGAGGACAGCTGCTGACTTTGCCCGTGTCTTTCTCACCTCTGCTTCCTAAGTGACACTGATCTGTTTCCATGACTTTCGTTTCTAGATGGGAAAAATCAGCTGCTTCTTGCCCTGTTGAAATGCACAGGTAACCCTTCCAGGAAATATCTCTGTCTTTCGAAAGCAGCCTTTCACATTCCATGAAAAAAACAGAACACACAGTTTCCATGGTCCTCATGTAGCTGCAGGCAATTCAGAAAGATAGATTTCTACGGATTCAATAAAAAGCAGTGTTTTGTTTGCTTTTTAAGAGAATTAAAATATAAATTGGGTTTGAATTAGCAATTGATTAGATTAGATTAGTAATTCATATTTACTTTTATCAATTTAAATCAATCTTATGAATCTCCACAACAAAAACAAACACTGAATCTGAACAGTTGTAAGAAGCTTTACAGCAATTAATGAGTTCTTATGTGCTGTTACAATTAATACAATTAGTCACTCTGATGCTGAGCTGCTTCCGACTTTGCAAACGAGGCATCATCGTTGTGGAGGATTTACTCCGGCGGTGCTAATTAGCCGCCCTTGGCCACATGCCAACGGGCTGCACGCACTCTTCTCCGCAGACACGGACCTGCAGCTCCGGCGAGACGTGATCTTCTGCCAGAGCGTGGTGGGGGCGCTCTGCACCCTCACCGAGCAGCTCCTGGCCGCCCTCAATTTCCGCTACAACAACAACGGCGAGTATGAGGAGGAGAGCAAGGAGGTCAGCAGGAAATGGCTGGAGCAGGTGGCGGCCATCGGCGTGCTCTTCAACTTCCAGTCCACGCTGTCGCCTTATGTGGTGAGAGCCGTGTCCTCGGACTCTGAGTTTGGTGCCCAGCTAGCGATGGTGCCCTAGAACTACCCACTGAGGGGTTCTATATAAGACTAGTCCTTCCATAGTGCTGCCAGTGCAGTGGAAACCATCTCATTGTCTCTGCAGGATGTTGGTACAATAGGCCATTCTGGACCCTATTTAAGGGGCTTCAACCCGTGATATTTTTTTTTTGTCTCAGCCCCCTGAAAAATATTTTTTCTAAATCCATGAAGCAGTGGCTTCCTGTATATCTTTGGATTGAAAATGGCAGCCTTTAAGGTTCAAATCCTCCAGTCACCCCAGGGTGGCACTTGGCACTGTACTGACAGAGTACCTAGGTGAGCATAGTAAATTCACTGCGGAACAGTGTGTGGCTCATCAGGCTAAGTCTCTGTGCTTGTGAGCAGAAGGTCGCTGGTTCGAGCCCCGCCCGCTCCAAGCAGTCACGTCTGTGGGCTCTTCAGCAAGGCCCTTAAACCCCAGCCCTGCGGGTGGCTGCCCTTTGCTGCCAAGCTTGCTCTCACCTTGCTCTCACCTAAATTTCCTCACATGGGATCATTATCGTTATTAAGATTGAGCAGAGAGCTGTACAGAGTCATCAGGATTGGCCTGTACATCCCAGCCACTGAGGGAGGCCTTCCACATTAGTAAAGATCAATCAACTGCGTGTCCTCCTGTCATGCAGCAGGCACTAATAGAACTATGCACACCTACGTAAGAAGGTTCTGGAATGGGTCCTACCCAAGGCACCATCTCACATAATAAATTCTAAGACCCAAAGACATCTCTCACATAAGTAACGTAAATGGCCATTATCGTTCAGAGACATTATGCAATATGTGCAATAACCTAAATATATTGCCACTTGTCTCTCATGCACTGTTGTTTGTCTCTTTATAATTTGTTACTTTAACAGTGTATTCACATCTATATATAGTTTATTTCGTTTGTATTTTGTTTACCTCTTGTGTATGTTTTGCTGTATATTTTAAATTCCATCAGCTTTCAAAATTAGTGGCATCATTCCATACTGCGTAAGGTGGTGACAATGACCTTTGGGTCTTAAATCTTGCTACTCTGAAGAGTACCCAAAGCGAGTCTGGTTTAATAACTACGTGTAACTCTGGAGTTAATGGATTTGTTTGGCCCAGTGTCAGATTTGAGAGAGTCAGAGGGCACCAGTACCGTGAATGTTAAATGTGAATGGACTATTTCTGACAAGCGGGGTAGGGTTACTCATTTCTTCTGCCAACAGAAAGAGGAGCGGATCATGCTAGAAGACACCAAGGCTGCTCTGACGGAGCTGGATAAAGTCACTGTTTACTTCCGGCAGCTTGAGGACGAATGTCTGGTTGCGAGTAAGCTGTGTGCATTTCACTGTGCTCTCACCGTCATGTCGTGTTACTGTGGAGTTCTGATGTGTCGCAAGCCTGTGTTTGGTAGGACTTCCCCTTCGGTGATCGTCCTGGGATTTCCTAATAGGGTCCGGCACATTTTTTTTTTTTTTATTGTTCCCCGCACATTGAGGTATCTTGGGAATTTCAGAGCTGTGATGTTTGCGAAAAACAAAGCTGAATGAAATCTAAAGAAAACCGAAAGCCAAAGTACTGTTTGCATGAGGGCCATTTTTGTTGGGAAATCACGTCTGGTTTCGCAGATCATTTATTGCTCTGCATTTAAGGCATCAACCTATATTTGGAGTGGATGGCATACTGTATACCTGTATTTGGAGTGGATGGCATACTGTATACCTGTATTTGGAGTGGATGGCATACT